ATTATCATTACTGTTACAGCATCTAAAGAGGACCCAACCAAGAACAAAGGACTTGTTTTGCTGGATTCTACACATCTCATGTGCTTGAAGTTTCTCTGTCTGTGAACATACTCATCGAGTTCCTGGTCTTGAAAACTCTTACAGGCATTACCATAAAACCTCTGAGAAATTACATGGAAAGGAAAATGACCAGGCCCTGCAGAAACTGCCTGTTCCTGTCCTCAAATTTAATTAATCTGTCCATCGGCTTAAGCTGTGCTGAAACACCTCCTGGAAGATGAAGGCAGGACAGGGAGAGCTCAGGAGGTGTTAATGACCCATAGAGAGCACTACTTAGCTGGCACAGGAGCTCTGCTTGTTGCAGTCTTGTGGAGTTCATGCTGCTCTGGAGGGTGTCCTCACACGTGGCTTGTGTTTTCTGTGTATTTGATTGTTCTCAGTCAATGAACGAGTCCGAATGTCTCTGCTGAGAGACTCCCTGTCAAGGCTGCAGTTTCCTTGTTTTGCATTTCTGCTCATTTCACAAACATATTTACTATTCTCAAGCACTGTTTTCCATGGAACTCCACGCCTGTGTGCAACAGCTGCAGTGCTGACCCCTCCAAAGCCACATCTGCAGAGGGACTTGGAAGTCTGTGCAGTGCCTCCCTGCAAGGCAGCGCTGGGCTCTGCGGTGACCTGCTATGAGCCACCACGTCCAGGGTGCTGTGCCAGCACCTCCGTGCTCTGAGCATTCTGCAGCCAGTTCTCCCTGTCTCGGAGCTAGACCTGATCTGTGTGACAGACCTGCTCCCTCCCGAGGGAAAGCTCTCCGCTGTCGTCTTTTTGCCCTACCCAGACAGGCACACCGATGAACCCTTGAGATACTGGGAATGCCGGCTACTCACAAGGTTGGCCAATGCCTGGGATGTCTGGGGGCTTCAGGCATCTTAGCTGAGCTCTTCCTGCTCAAGAGAAGGCTAATTAATCAGCTTTGCTGTTCTGGCATCACCCAAAAGTGAAAATACTTTCTGGCAGGGCAGCAGGCACAAAATTAGCTGCTGCATTAAACTGCCAAATCTCCTTTACTCCTTTATTAGTTGCATTTGGTGATGATGAGGAGTGAGGCATTAACCAGTCCCTGATGGATAAAGAAACTATTACTCTGCTTTCTCTTTGCAGCTGGGAAGAGGAAATAGGTTTTATTACCGAGATTTCCTTGAAGACATTCACTTGACTTTGTGGCATCAGAGACGGAAGAGAAATGAAGAACACAGGAATCTTGGCACAGCAGGAGAGGTTGTGCGTGGATAATAACAGAGAGAAGCACCAGGTCAGTTGGGAGCTGAGAATATACTTAGGTGATTGAATCCTTGTGCTGGGTTGAAGCTTGGATGATCTGCTGGGCTCAACTAATTTCAGCATTACAGCCAGAATCTCTGTGCTGGCACTGAGGACCTAAGCCAGGGAACTTGCTGGGAAGACACATTCGGGATGGATTCGAATGGAACAGAAAAGAAAAAAAAAATAGAATAGAAATGATAGATTATTAATTCTTTGTTGTTTGGTTTTGTTTGGTTTTTTTACTCAAGATTAGATTTAGAACTTGCCCCTCCTTGTTTTAGGCCTAGATCCTGGCTAACATGACATGACCCTACTAGAGGAAGGTGCAGACTGGAAGAGCCCATGCAAATCACAATCCATGCCTTGAAATCTCAGAGGGTTCATTTTGGAATTAAATACTGAGTTTCCTAAGGGATAATCACAAATTCTTGAGTTTGCTACTCATTTGTTACCAAGACAAACACAGCCTGGACACAGATGTTCAAGAGATCTAGAGCAGACCAGAGCAAAAGGGCAGAGCTGGTACAGAGCTGACCTAAGCATGGTGGGGGACCAATGGTCTGTGAACCAGCATTGGGAGGAAACTGGAAGAAACACCCTAACCATGTGGGGAAAGAGGTCTTGTGACAGGCGGGCAGAGGCAAAAAGCCAACCTGGCCAAAGAGGATGTGGTAACCCAGCCCTGTGGGGACCAGGCTCCAAAGCCCAGCAGGTCCCTCCTGCTCGTGGTCATTGAGGGACCCATCTCATCCCATGGGCACAGGGAGCCCAGTCAGGAGGAGGATTGGGAAGAGGAACCACACGAAACCATCTTGTCCCATAACTTCTGACAAAAGGGGAGATGACATGGGCAGGTGGCCAAGGGATATCCTCCTGGACAGAGTGTATTTGAACCTCCTAGGAGGAAAATTCCAGGCTCCTGGCTCAGGAGCTGGCCCAAATATCAGCACGGTGTGGTGAGATGAGTTTGTCTCTCAGAACAGATCAACCAAGAGGCTGGCAGAGGCCTGAGTTTTACTGCTGGTATTTCTTGCTGGCTGCTGCTCAGGGCACTGCCCCCCAGCTCTGCTGTACCTCGAATCCTCTCGCCTCCACAAAGTGGAGCTAAAGCTAATTACAACCCCTAGAATGGAGCTGCATCACTTGGCTGTACCAGTGTTTCAAAAGCACGCAGACATGAAAGGTGCTTGAGAAAGCAGAGTATTGTTATTACTAATAATTACAAAAATTAACCAAATATTTGTCTAGCAGCATCCATCCCCACTGCTGCTCCTTACATAAAACACACACATGCTCTGACTGCCAAACCAAAGCCCCAGAATCACTACATCAGCCCTACGGTATCGAGAAGGGGGGCAAAGTGCCTTGGGTCTAAAAAGGGTTGTCTGTTCCAGCAATTAATTTAATTGTCCTAAATATAACCCAGGTATAGTGCAGATCCAGATTGCTGGCTGACAACAAACCCAAACAGGGCCCAGAGGCTGTGAGGCAGCAGGTTAAACGCTGCCTCTGAAGCTGCTGGGCTGATCCTGGCACACGCGTATATTTTCTCTTGGTATTCGCCGCCGCTTGCTGCTGTGGAGTTGAATTCTCGTAAAATGTTTATCAATGCCTGGGCATCTTCCAAACCAAGAAAGGGTGCGTGAGAAGTGTCCCCTTGCAGTCAGCAGAGACTGGATTTCATCACTTGTTTTAATTCCCGTCTTCATAATTTTATTGCTTTTTTTCCTCCTGTTTTCTAATAAGCTCTTCTAGCACCTAATGAAATCAGTTCTTTTTTCCTTCTACTTACCTCCCCCTGCTGCCATCGCGATTACCTAGACTAGAAAAATACAGAGCACGGGGTCCTGCAGGCTGAGGTTTTACTGACTGATTTCAACTGACGTGAGCAGAATCGGCAATGAACTTCAATGTCATGGAATTTTGATTCCTCCCTCTCCCGTATTGCATGAAATATCTGAAGGGGACAAATGCCAAGGAGTGAGAAGAATTCTTTTGGGTTGTACAACCAAAAATGAAACTAAGAAAGGAGCCATTTCCAGAGAGGGAGATGCAGTCAGCTGTGCAATTGTTATCTGTAATAGATGGCATCTCTCACTGACGTGATCTCTATTATCCTCCTATCTCAGCATCTCACAGGCTTTAATGGATTCTTCCCTCCAGCATTTCTTCAAGACTCTGCCATTGTCCTACACACATTTTACTAACCAGGACCAGAAGTACCAAAAGGCCAAGACCCAGCTTCCCTAACCTATGCTGGCACTCAAGTTCCTGTTGGTCACCATCTAAAAACCCGCCTGTAATCTGGGCACTTCGTTATTTAACAGGAAATTCATTTGCAAAGGTAAAAAAAAGTGCTCTGTGACCACAGAGAGGCAAACAAATCTCATAAAATCCAAGTTTGTTATTTCCTGCTCTGCTTTCAAAACAAAACACAATAATTTTAGCAGACAATTAAACTCTCTGATTTCCAAGGGAGGCAGGCACACAAATACTTTTGAGGATCTGAGCCCACATGATTATGTAAGGAATTAGTAGGAGGGAATTAACCCAATCGCCGGAGCATCCTTGTGGAGAGGATATCATCCACACTCGGGGCTGCCATACGGGAACATGTCAGAACAAAATGTAAAACTCAGAAATACTTAAAATTTAAATCAGCAAAGTGCCAAAAAATGTCACAGCATTGCTCCATGTCAGGACAATATCTGGCCTGACCCCTTTGTACCTCCTGCCTCACCACCGTGCTGTTTGTACTCCAAAAAGCCAGGAAAAAAAAGGCCAGCATTGCACGTAGTGCTTCCAAGCACGCGGGACCTCCATGTGGGGCAGTTGCCAGTGGACTGGTTGTGTGCATTACCCTCTGTGCATGGACACAGGCTCTGTGTCAGGGCAAACAGTCCCTGGGCACCCATGAGACTTTTGGCAGGAGGACCAGGGGTGCTCCAAGCTGAGCAGATGCAGAGATGTGGGGACAAGGCAGCAGCAGGCAGGATTTCCACCACCCGGCAAGGATCTCGCATTTCTCCCTCCACCCTGGGGCTGCTCATTAAATATACTGTGATATTAAACCAAAACTACTTTAAAAACATAAAAATAAGTAGGAGCGAGCAGGATTTGGGGAAGTAATGGGGAAGGCTGTGGGCCTGATCCTGCTCTTCCTCAGGACACAGTAATGAGGAGCATTGGGGGAAGGCAGTTCCGAGGCGGGCTCCTTGATTCCAGCCTGAATGGGACATAAAGGAGATCTGGCTCCTTTCCCATATTTTAATGCTGTCACAGTAGAATTTATCACGCTGAAACCGGTGGAGTTGTTTCAGAAGTGAGGACTGGGTCAGCAGCAGACCCAGGAATGCAGAATGCGGACACTGGGAACCAAACCTCCCTGCCTGGGATGGACGCAGCTCCCAGCACGACTGTGACGATAAAAGCAAACCTTCCCGGGCAGGCAAAGGCTGCCTCGACTGTCACTTTAATTGAAACCTTCTGCAGTTGTATACTTCACCTTACGTTTAATGATTCACCTCTTAAGCAGCCCACTTGTACCTTTGTAATCTTTGGGAAGGTTAACTTGTTGATCCTCGAAACTTGTCTGGAGAGAGAGAGGCAATTCGCAGGGAGGCGAGGAAGGAAAAAAGTATCGAGTTTTCTGATGAAAAGTGTTTTTATTGAGGGAGAAGGAATGAGAAATGAACTGCAAAATTCAGAAGAGCCGATGAGACTTTGGAAAGAAAAAAGAAAACAAGAAGAAAAAAAAATAAAAAAAGGGAAAAAAAGTCAATAAAAAACCAGGAGGGATGGGGGGAGCAGCTGGGTTTAGTTCCCAGTTCCTGGGAGATGGTTTATTTCTTCTTTATAGGAATCAAAAATATATTTGTCATTTACCAAATTAAATAAAAATAATCCTAGCATTAAATTATTTTTAGTACATTAAGAGTTACGTTCTTATGGGCAATCATCTATTTGTAACACTGTAATGGAGTAACTGGCAATTTCATACAGCTTCGGGATCGATTTTTTCCTATTTGCCATGTACCTATGCAAATAAATATCCCATTTGATTCATGTCCATATAGTAGGATCTGCCTGCTTCTTTCTTACTCCTTTAATATTTAATTATTTAAAACAAGGAGAAATCTCACGGGAATTTTTGTCTCAAAAATAGCTGACTTTTTCTTGTCATTCGAGAATAACAGAAAAAAGATGTGAAAATCTAATTCTTTTTAAGTCCTAAAACTGAAACTCTAAAAAGGACGAGGAGAAAAAAATCTTAAACTCCAGAAACCAAACTTCCTCCCCTCCCTTTTTACATGAATATTCTGAGTTTTTACTGTAGCTATTCATAGTCATACCTAAATGTAGTCTATAAATCTACTAATATATTATTTAACACTCTAACTACTGGTATAAAAAATTATAAAATATTCTGTTGGCAATACATTTAATTGAATTCTTTTTAGAGACAGCTTGTTACTGCCAGACATGCTTTTAGAGATAGTATGGAGAAATAAAAGAATTCCAGAAGGCAGTAAAACAAATAATCACCATTTTCACCATTACTTCCAGATACCCTCCTATCCAGTCACTAAATCCTTTAAGTCTAAATCAAAGAGTTTCCATGAGCAAAATTGCACAGATAATTTCAAAGAATATAAAAATTATGTCGATGTTTTATTTGAAGAGAGAAATTGAAATTCACACAGTACTCTACTGGCTGAGACGTCCGAGGAGTTATTAGAGGAAAAACAGAAATAAACCAGGCTAGTTTAGCCTGAACTTTAGAGGCCTGTTTCAAAATAATCAGGGTCAATGCAAATCCTTTTCTTAATTGCAATGTGCTTGTGCCTCTAAAAGTTTGAAGCATTGTCCTTCTTCTTAATCTCTCTGCTGATTTTTATTATCAGGTATCTGCAAGATTCTCTGAGACGTAGGAGTAATAAACAATATTATAAACCATTCAAAGCAAGCACTGCCTTTTATTCCTTTTATTACTTTTTTTCCCAACAAAGCAACTTACACATTGGGTTTGAACTACCTCAGCACAACTCCTAATCAGAGAAGTATCTGTAGGGGTTAGTGAGGTTTTTTTTATTGTAACATCTGAACACTGCAGATCTGCTGAAAAGAAAAGAGGTCAGTAGTGCTGCTCAGCACAGGCCAGGGATTTTCAGCTTCCACTGGTCACACACTTCAGTTTGGTGTGTGCCAGGATGACAAGATTTGGGGACAAGCAAGGGATTGGGCAGGGGATGCTGATCAGGTGAAGGCTCCCCCACCACATCCCCTGCCAGGAGGCTTCTTGCCCGGCACAGCCCCACTGAGGCACAGACAGGCTTTGGTCCATAACTGGTTAAAAATCGACTGGGTCCAGGGTAGGGTGGGAGGTAATTATCTGCAGCTTGAAAACTTTAGGATGAAGTTTCCCTTTTAAATCTAAGATGGTGCAGAACTGGCGTGGGGCTGTGAGTGCTCAGTGGAATGGGGACAGTCCTTACCCACCTTCCGAGAACTGCTCTTTACACTCAGCCACTTCGGGAGATCAGGCAGGAGACGGGCAGATATCTTGTTCCTATGTGGCAAGGAAGTAATTTTTGACAGGCAAGTCTACACTGTCTCCTGGCAGCAAGCACTAAGCAGCTATGCCAGTTATTTGGGCAATTTTGCCAGAATATTATCCTGGGGGTTGATGTGCACACAGCATGGATGTACACCCTCCATCATCAGAGCAGCTCTTCTTGCAGAGAATTCATCCGAGTGCAATTCATTACCCCAAACGGGACGTCTGGACACGGCTCGGGGGTTAAAATGTGTTCTCAGGCTGTGTGGGGAGCCATGGCATGGAGGCACTGAGGGCCAGCCAGTCACACACCTCTCCACATATGGGGAGCCCCTGGCTGTCCCTCTCTCCATCCAGACCTCATCCCTCTGGTCCTGTCTTCCAGGGCACCCTGTACTTCCCTTCCCAGTACCCATCCAGATGCTGACAGATGCCAAGTGGCATCTGCAGCCACCTAAAGCCTCTGCACAGGACGTGAAGGGAGTAACACAGTTTGGGCCAGGGGCTTGTGGCCGGTGGGCTCAGTGGGAGCCGGGCCGGGTGAGGGAGAGCTACAGCCAGGTGTGCCCAGGGCGAGCTGGGACAGCCAGGTTTTACCACAACATTCAAGATTTTCCACTTCCAGCCCTTTCCCTTGCAGTAAAGATCGAATCAGAACACAAACACTCAAATTTACAACAAGTAAAAATAAAAAGAAAGCAAGAGAAAGGAACCCCGACGAGCACTGCAGCACCCCTCTCCCTGCCATTCCCATGCGCTCAGCTGCTGCTTGCTCTTCTCCTCCAAGTCGGAGCCCATGCCTCTTCCGATACCCAGGAAAACATTTTGTTCTGCGTTAAAGGCTAAAGCTAACACATGACCAGCGAGAGGCAGCAGTTTGTTTAGCTCTTGGAGTTTATTTTAATTGCGGCCTTGTTTTGTAATGAGGACGGCTGCAGCAGGGGGAGCCTGCTGGGATCCGGGGGGCTGTTCCAGAGGAGTTTCCTTATCAATAACAAGAACTCTCAACTATTTAAATTAACAACAACTGCATGGCATGCATGCTCAGCTGCTTTGTTTTCTGGGAAGTTAAACTGTACACATTTGCTTATTAAGGATCTCAGTGGCTGGCCAGGATCACAAGTTCCCTCCAAGTGCCACCTTTCAAATCCCCAACCTCCACCAGGGAGGAATGAAGACGAGAGAAACGGGCCCCGTGTTCATGCTGACAGACACAAAACAGCCTGGTAAACCTTAGCAGTTTGTTATGATGATGCATGAAAAAAAAAATGAGGAAAATATGTAAAATCATGTGATTTTTATGCAAATCAGATGAATTGGACAGTTTAAAAAAACCTTAAATGTCAGGTAGATAAGATCATATACACCTAGAGCAGTGTCATGATGTTCTCTGTACATTACATTCATACTGGAAACCAAAACGTGTTACAGAAATCAGACACCCACAAAAAGCTCTGAGATTGCACTGAGAACAGGTTCCTGCAAAGCACCGGCCTCTGACAAAAAAAAAAAAAAAAAAAAAAGCAAAAGAAAAAAAGTAGGTTAGATTAGAAAACAAGATAGCTGAATTCAGGCAGGGACTCGGCTGTCCCTGCGCAGCCTGGCCTCGCTGCATTCACATTAATATGCACAAAACTCCTTTTAAGTAACGTTCATGCGGTGGCACCCAGCTCCAAAATGGGCAGGCTGTTCCTGAAACCCATCCTCAAGGGCTACGGGGAAGGGGAGAGGTTCACAGGCTCTCTTCTGTCAGGCTGAACTTTTCTTTCTTAGACACATTTTTATTTTCCCTTTAAAAGTCCTGGCAGTTATTTTTGTGTGAGGATGGGGAAGTCTTATGGCCTGAAGGAGTTAATTTCAAAAGAAAAAATTATAGCGGGGTACTGTTTATTTAAGCAGTGTTTTGTAGAAGACAAGGCATTTCTTTCCAGGGGTGTGGTTCACCTGGGAAAAATACGCACTGGCCTCGATATACCATAAAATCCTGCTCTGTGTCCCCTGAAGGAAAATGACCCAAGCCCGGGGACTCCCCTCACTGCCAAGTAGCACCTCCAGCTCCGAGGCCCTTCAACATCCAACTGCAGCTCCCAGGGATGGCTGAATAATTTCACACTACTCTGTGCCCTGCACGCCAGCACACAGACAGAGGGGTTGTTTTTCATGCCAGGAGCTTTGCCAGGGGAGAACATGAAGAAGCTGGAGAGGGACAGTCCGTGGGAGGGTGTGAGGCACCTGTGGCAATGCCCAGCACTGCTCCTGCCTCTGCTCCTGCTCCTTGGAGCTGCTCCTGCATGACCAGAAATACCCCTGCCAGCTCGGAGGGGAACCATTTCCCAGCAGCATCACCCCTGTTCCAGCACTGCCACCACTTTGCGGGGTGGCACTTGGGGGGTTCAAACCCTTGCCTGGGTGAGGAGCTCTCTGCAGCATGGAGGGCGTTTTTGAGAGAGGGGTGTGTGGAGCTGATCCCCCAGCGGGGTTGCCACGGCCTCCCACAGGCAGGGCCGAGCTGCTGCTCCTCCACGTGCCACACAGGCACCTCGTGGGTGTGCAGGAGCCACGCCGAGCCCCGGGCTGCTGAGAAACGTCCCACGGCCGACACGGGGCTGCCGGTGGCTTTGCACACTCCCACCAGCGACCCTCCCCACCACGGGGTCACCATTCTCCCCCAAAGAGAAAACACTTGCAGAGGCAGGGGAAGCTGTCCCCACCAGGACGCTGCCGCCCTGGCAGCCACCACCACTGCCAGCGGCTGCCGTGCTTGTCCCCAGAGCTGGGACAGGCAAAGGAAGAGGGTGTCAAGGCCACACTCAGCAAAGATCCCTCTGGCCAATGGTGGGAGAGGGCTCCCAGGAAAATGACTCCATCTCCAGCTCCCTGAAGTCCCCAGCGAGGCAGCACAGGGACCGCTGGTGCTTTTGGGGCAGCAGGAAGCAGTGGGGAGCAGAGGCGGGTGGCAAGAGCCTGTGGGTAGCTGCAGCCGGGCCCTGAGTGACAGCGAGGGAGCAGGAGAAGGTATAACACCAGAGCAGAAAGGCCCAAAACTCAGCAAAGGCGCCCAGGCCGCTCATTTCCCAGTCCGAAAGAGATGCTGCTGGCTGCTCCCTATGTCCCCGCAACGAGACGGGTTAGGATGGAAATTCTGATGCAAGCCCGGCTTGGCTGTGGCCAGGCAGAGTGAGAAATCTTCCCCCGTAAAGAGTGCTACTTGAACGGAAGCCGTGCTCGACCTCGGGTCTCCACCAAAAATCCCCCAAGCGGCAGCCCTCCCGCTGCTGCTCCCGGGCGTCCCGCGGGCGCTGCGCTCGCTGGGCTCCGGCTAAAGCGAAAGCGTCACACGCTGCAGAGAAATGACAAACAGAACAGAGCTCCCAACAACCCCCTTCCTCTGGGTTTCATTGCTGGGGAAAAAGGGAAAAAAAAAAAAAAAAACCGAATCAAAATCCCGGAACGGAGTTGCTACTCTTGGGTCTGTCCCTCCTTGGGTCACTTGCAGAGCCGGGAGCTCTCTCCCTGCCCCGGGCCGGGATCGGAGGCGCACAAACCACCCAGCTCCAGCTGCACCCGCTCCCTGGGAATCCCACACTGCATTTTAACTACAGGGAAGCCGTCTCTCCAGCAGATCTGTACCACCTCAAGTGTCTCGGGAGTACCATCCCTGTCTTGCCACCGGGCTATTTTTAATGACGAGTCGTATTAGCACAAGGGCTTTCTTCCTAATTTATTACACCCCCCCCCACCCCCGGCCGCCCAACCTCCTTGCTTTAAAATGTTTCGGTTCAAGATCTCAGCTGAGAAATCAAAATAAAGGCAGCACCCGGGCACTCTGCGTCCAAGGCGGCCGCTCCGTGGGCTCGCCACTGCTGGAATCAGTAGCTCCGAGCAACTGCACCAGTGGACCGAGGGCACCGTGACCTGCGGTGGTTATTCTCGTAAACAAATTTCTATTAATCACCAGGGCCCGGGAATGCCTTCACAGCCCAGAGCGCGCCTTCCCCCGCTCCCCACCAGCCCGACCGGCAGCTCGCAGCCCAAAAACCCGTCCGGGAAAGCCAAACGAGCGATCTGAACCACCCCCAAAGCCGAGCCTTGCTGCAGGCCCCCAGGAAGTAAACACGCGAGGCTGGGGGACAGGCGCAGGAATCTCCAGGGATTTGCATCCACGGAGCTGCATCTCCACAGGGGAGCGGGGAAGGTTGGGGTGACAGGTCCCCTCCCGTGCCCGCCCTGCGGAACCCACCCGCGACACTGATCGCGAGGCTTCGCATTATTCCCCCTTCCCACCTCCCAGCAAAGGCCTTTGCCCGGCAAGACGCAAAAAGTGCAGACATAAAATCCCTTTCCAGAAAAGCCGAAGCGATTCTGCATCCCCAGCACAGTACAACAATTCCATACAAGCAGAATATTTATAGACTTACAGGTTATTTTGCAACAATAACAAAACAGCTACACAGAATTAACCCACCACTTGAGTGTCCTGGAAAGGAAAAGAGAACACGGATGGAAAAAAAAAAAAAAAAAAGAAGAAGAAAAAAATCATCAAATTGATCTGGGTATTTTTTAAAAATAAATAAAAAAGAAAAAAATTAAAAATAAAACCAAAAATTAATATGGGGAGTTCATGGGGAACCGTCTTTAAGGAAAAAGCTTCTTTCCCCAAGAGTAAATCCCATTGAAGGCCCTGAGCCGAGTGTGGCTCTTTGCAAAAAATAATTTAAAAAAAAAAGCTGAATGAGTGAAAAAATAATTAAAGGAAAAAAGCAAAAATCCAGAACAATGCCGCTGGCTCCTGGCTTTGCTCGCTGGGTTGTTTGATGGTTTGGGGTGTTTTTTAAGGGGGGGGGGAGGGTGTTTTAGAAACGCAAAAGTGACCCCCCGCCCCAGAGTAAATAAATAAAAAAAAATAACAAAGATAAATTATAATTAAAAATGCATACATATATATATATATATATCTATATATATAGATTAATAAGTAAGAGGCGCATTTTTTTTTCCAAGATCTCTTCGCTCGTTTTCGGAGAGGCTTGGGAGAGAAAATAAAAAAAAAAAAGAAAAAAGCCAAAAAAGCCAGAAGCGGAGGCTGGTGGTGGCAGGGGGTGTGATGTGTGTTTGCACCGCCCGGAGCTGTGCCCGGGACCCCCCGTTTTCCTCTCCCGCCGCCGCCGCCGCTGCTCGATCCGCGCCGCGCGCGCTGCTCCGCGCCCGCGCGCCCCCCACGTCACCGACAGCACCCGCCGCCACGTGACCCGCCGGCCGGGCGCGACCACTGCTGGAAGGGGGGAACGGGGAGGGGGATGAACGGGGGGAGACACCGTGAGACCCCCGCCGCCGCCGCGGCCCCCCCGAGATACGCGCCCCCACCTCGCCCACCCCGTTGCCGGCCTCGCCGGGGGAGCGCGCACGCCGGGAGGGGCGCGGCGCCGCGGAAGGCGCGGAGGGGGGAGGTCCGTGGCCCTCCCCATGCCGAGCGCGATGGTAGAGTCCGCAGCTCAAATTCCGAGAATTGGGCTCTGTTGATTCTTAGAACTGGGGTTCTTAGAAGTGGTGATGCAAGGAGTTTCTAGGAAAGCCCGGAGACCAGGTGATTGCTGCTTCTATTGCCGCGGCCGATTTTACCCTTTAATTCTCTCGCTCGCTTTTTTTTTTTTTTTTTTTTTTTCCCCTTTTTTTTTCCCCCCCTTCCCTCCCTGCCCCGCTCCGGCGCTTGGCGCGGAGCCGCCTCTATATATTTCTACCCATTTTTTTTCCTCTCCCTCCTCATTCCTTCCCCCCCCTTTCCCGCTGCAGGTGCCCTTTATTTTTTTTTTTTCTAATACTATTATTATTACCATCTCAATTTAATTTTTTTTTCCCTGCCTTATTTATTTATTTATTTCACATACACATCCCCCCCTTTTCCCTTGCCCGCTGTCAGGCGAGGAAAAAAAAAAAAAAAACAGGGAAATAGGGGTGCCTGCATGTCTTTAACGCTGGGAGCGTGTATAAGGGGAGGGGAGCGGGGTGGGTGGGAGTGTCTCCCCTCGCCGTCCTCTCCCGGGGATTATCGGTTATCTGGGATTATTGGCTTTCCCGCACGCGTGACGGCCGGGTGGGGACGGGGGGGACGGCGGCGGCTGCTCTCTGCACCTGCAGCCGCTCCGCGGGCGCAGGACGGCGGCGAGCGCTGGCGGCCGCCGGGCTTGTGGCGTGACTCGGGGTCCGCTCTCAATGGCTGGATCCTTCGGTCGGGGTGTGTTATTTTTCTTTGCCCTTTTTTTTTTTTCTTTTTTTTTTTTTTTCTTTTTCAATTTTTTTTTTAATTTTTTTTTTTTTTAATGGTGTGTGCGTGTTGTGTCGCTGTTGTCGTTTCGCCGCCGCACGAAGCCGCCGCGGAGCGGGGCTGGCGGCAGCGCGGGGGCTCGGCGGCACCGGGCACCGGCCTTTCCGCGCCAGCCCCCGTTTCTCTCTGTTTCTGTTATTAAAGCATTATTATTGTCATGCTGTCCCCGGCGCTACCGCGAAAGCGCTGGTGCGTTTTGCAACCTGTGGCGGGGCTGCGCCGTGATCTGTCAAGCCCCGGGCTAAGAGCGGGCGGTGATGGAGAAGACTTGCGGCATTTCCCTGCCCGGGGAAGGGGGGAGCCCGCGGGGAGGCTCGGCCGCCGCCGGCTGCCGGCCCCGGAGCACCGCGGAGCGCCGGCCCGGGGCGGCGGGGACCGCGCTCGCCTCGACGGTGCGTGCGGGGCGGCTGCCGGCCGGGAACCCAACCGCGATGCAAAACTCGCGAAGGGGCAAAAGTGTGTGAAGCGACTCTGAATATCACGCGTAGGGCTGAAAATAATAATAATAATGACAATAATAACAACAACACCACCACCACCAGCAGCCGTGGGGAGGAGCGGGCGTCCCCCGCCGGGAGGAAGGCGGCGGGCGAGGGAAGCGGAGCGCAGCCGTGCGAGGGATGCGAGGGACGGGGTCCGGGGCGCGCTGCGTGCGGAGCCCCCCGCTGCCCCCAGCGCAGCCCTTCCCCTGTGTTTACTACCGCGGCGGACTTGGCGCGGGGTCAGGCGCTCGTAAATCTGCCGGCGGCAGCCGCGGGGCTGGCCCCCGGCCACACGCTATTCCTGGAGCGAACGGCCGCGGGGAGCCGCGCAACCCCCGCGCCGCTGCGGCCCCGAAACCGCCGAGAGCGGCCGGGCAAGACAGAGCGCTGTTTGTTTTGGTTGGTTGGGGGTTTTTTTAATTGTTTTTATTAGGTGCGTGATCTTGTGTGCGCATTTTTTTTCTTTTTTTTTTTTTTCTTTTTTTTTTAAGCTTCCCCCTCAATCTCCTTTAAAAATAAAAGGCAAAACAAAACCGAAAAAGCCCAACTTTGTTATGAAAACTTTCGTGGTCGGACGGCAGCGACCTCTCCCGGCCGGCCCCCCCCCCCCCCCCCCCCCGCGGCCGCCCCCGCCGCTCACCGGGGCGCCGTCCGAGAGCCGCGTCCCCGAGAAGACGCTGCCGAATCCGCCGCGCCCCAGCAGGGAAC